GCTTCAATCCAAACCTCGACGCCAGAAGGTCTAAAAGGTAGAAGCAAAGGTTTGCCATGAAGTAGGATCTCGACGCTCACTCGAGTTCGGACTCCTCCTGGTGCTCGGGGGCGCTAAGCTGTCGCCACGTGGCCGCACCAGAAGGTCTAGAAGGTATCAGCGAAGGTTTGCCATCAAGTAAGAGCTCGACGCTCATTAGAGCTGGAATTCCTCCTGGTCGTTCGTCAATTCCTGTACTCTCCTCCTCCTCCTCCTCCTCCTCCTCCTCCTCCTCCTGCTGCCGCTGCTGCTGCTGCTCACCCCTGACCACCGGGACCATCGCGAACCCTCCGTCGTTCCTCGCCACAACACCCCCCATCGACTTCTCGGCGACGTACTCAGACCATATCCAGCATATCCACCGGCTGCGTGCCCGCGTTACTTCTTCCCACTGCGTGTCGCCCGTCGCTTATCTCCCATCAACCCGTCCAATTGCGCTGAGATCAGCTGACCTCGCACTCACCTCTACTTTTCCTCAACCTTCTCCCTTCATGAGCGAGAACTTCAAGAGCTGTACGTCACTCATGGTCCTTTTCCGCTTGCCTTCTCATTCCTCCCCCTTTCGAAGCCAGCCGCCAGACTCTGGCTTCTCATCTTTTTCTCTCTCCAACGAGCACATTCATTCCTCCTCCCTCCCACTTTGCACTGCTGTCGCGCAGTTGCAGTCGATCGAATGAACGATGTCAACAAGACAGCGAAGATCGGGAAAGAATTTTAGGAGTGAAAAGAGAGAGAAAGAGGTGTAGAGAGAGCACAACAGTGTACAGTGATCAGAGCGGCAGCCGCGATAGCGCACCTGCCGCTCGCTCATCGCGCGCCACCACCTCTTAGTATATAAATAGATTACATTGTTATGTTAGTGTAATCACTCCTTCCAGATCCAACCCATCGTCATTGTCCAACGCACCAGAGACCGCATTTAGCAGGAAACACAATGGTTGGAACCGCAGTTAACCAAGCCATCGTCAGTTGTACAACGATTCAGAGACCGCAATGAGCAAGAAAAACAGTAGTTTGGGCATCATGGCATTAGAGAAAACACAAACAGAGGAAAGCAAGAGAAGTGCTGCCGGAACCCAACGTCGCCGATGGAGCGCGCGGGCGACGATTTGGCATGCGTATGCGTACGTGTGGGCTTCAAAACCACCCCACACAAAGATGAGATCAATCAATCAACCAATCAATCAATCAATCAATTAATCAAATCAATCAATCAATCAATCAATCAATTAATCAAATCAATCAATCAATCAATCAATCAATCAATCAATCAATCAATCAATCAATTCAGGCAAGGCAAGGAATCCACTCAATGACTGTCCAATTACAGTATTATTCATTCGTAACGACAAATCTCTTCCGACGATGATAATTTCCCGGGTCATCCATTCATGACAGTAGCAGCACACCCCACCAACCAATCTCGATGGCACGCCACACGGGCGCCGGCTTACCTCCCTCCCCCCGCCCATCCACCCAAATCCACCACCACAACCGCCGCCTGCATTTCCAACACATCGTTCTCATCGATCAATCAATCAATCAATCAATTGATCAATACCTTTCATCTCTCATCAGATTCGAGAACGTATGCCAACAACAAAGCAACAACTCCCAGCTTGCAAGAAGCGCTGTCCCCACGGACATGGTTCCAATCGTGAGCCGCTGCCTCTGCCGCTGCCATCGCCGCCGCTGCGACGCCACCTCCGACGTTCGCCGTCTTTCAGGGAATAGAAAAGAATACTACTTACTGTCGCAAACGTTTGCTGCAGCTGCTCTCTGCAGCACAGTAGAGCCTATCGCAACCTAAGAAACAAAGCCGCAAGGTCTTGCAAAGTAATCAAAGACACAATCTTCTTGGCAATCGAACCACTACACTACCACCAACTTACAGTATTAACTTTATCGCATGGCCTTTCTGACGCTCATCCCTCTTTCCATGACTCCTCCCTTCACCCCATGATTCCCCAATCTTCCAGAACATTCGATTGGAGATAGGTTTGAATCGTATCGATGAGTCGATCAACGCGGAACCAATCAAAGTTGACGGTGCACCTCTCTTCGTCCATCTCCGCCTTCCTTCGAAGCTTGACACTCAGCTCCCGGAGCTCCGTGCATCCCTTCTCCACAGCGCGCATTCCGTCTGACGTCACCCTACTGTTCGACATGATGAGCTGTGTCAAAGCCCGCGCGTATCGGCCAAGTTCACACATGGCTTGGTCATCGACCCCACGGCACTCTACCAAGCTCAGCGTCTTCAGCTGGCGGCAATGCTTGGCCACCTCCTTGAGCGCCGTCCATCCCACGTAACACTTGCTGATGGACAAGCTCGTGAGGCTCGGGCAGTGACTGGCTAGGCAGATCAGGCCCTTGTTCCAGTTGGGATTGAAGCGATGGTGGTTCCCGGGGTCGAGCGCAAGCCCGCGCAGCTTCGGGCAGCCTTGCGCGATGGCGCGGAAGCTAGCGCCCGTGAGATTGGGACACTCGGAGATCTCCAAGACCTCGAGGTGTCGGCAGCCGCGCGCCAATGCGCTCAGGCCGACGTCCGTGACATCGCTCGCCGTGGTGAATTCGATGTCCACCCCGTCGGGGTTCACGTCGATGGGATCGGCAGAGAGCTTGAGTTCCACGAGATCTCTGCAAAAGCTCCCGATGGCGGTCAGGCCGCCGTCGCAATTGCCTTGGTAGTCGAGCTGGAGGTGCGTGAGGCGGCGGCAGCCCGAAGCTAGGTAAGCTATGGCGTCTGACGTCAGCGGATTGCCCGGATTCTGACAGTGGAATTTGGTCAAGGAGGGGCAGTTGGCGCCGATGTCCTTCAGGAGAGCATCCTCCACCTGCATGTTGCCCGTGAGGTCGAGTTCGGTGATCTGGGCGCAAGTCGAGGAGGAGCTGAAGATGGTCAGCGGTTCCAGCAGCGACGTGCAGCAATTGACCAAGTGCAGAAAGCGGAGGTTCGCGCAGGAGCGGAGGAGGGTCGCAAGACCCGGCTGATCGTATTCAACGCTGTTCAGATTCAAAGTCTCCAGCTTTTGACACGTGGCAGCCAATCCGTCCAGTTCCGCGCGCGAGAGCAAGGGGAAATCCTCATGGCTGACGCTCTCGTTCTCGATGTGCAGCTCCTTCATTTCCCTGAGGCCGTTGTCGACAATGGCGCGCAGTGCGGGGGCCACAAGATGCATACAATGGTCTAGCCGCAACCTCTCGAACGTGGATGATCGCCGTCGAAGGCACTTAATCATCCCCACAGCGCTCACCCCCTCGAAGAAGCCGATCAGAGAGAGAGACTTGAGCCGCGGGCACCCGCGGCCCAACTCCGCCATCCCTTTGTCGGTTATCGCGTTGCCGGAATCGACCAGATCCAGATCATCGCCGTTGCCCTGCCGCACAGTCTGATTCGACAGACTGAGGGACTCCAGAACGGCGCAATGCAGCGCTATGATGGACAACCAGGTGTCGTTCGCGTGACGACAAACGCCCAAATCCAGCTGCTGAAGCCGGTGCAGGCTGGGGAGAATCTTGGCGAGACCCAACCGATCCCTCGGATCGCGATCCCAGCCGAAGAATCCCGCCCTTCCCCCCCCAACGGACTCCGCCTCCGCATTCGTCACCGACGCCGCCGCCGCCGCCGGCCCGCCGCCGCTTCTTCTTTTTTCTTCTTGCTGCCGTTCCCAGCGCTGATGCTGCTGCTGCGGCTGAAGATGGCGCCACTGCTGCTGCAGCAGCATTTCAACTCGAGTAGGAGGAGGAGGAGGAGGATGTGGAGCGTAAGCATGATGTTGATGTTGATGATGATGATATTGTGGTTGATAAAGAAGAATGGCATTGTAATGGTACTCGTCTCCAAGCGCCTCCAATCTACGGTCTACGTCGAGGTGGTCCCCCCCACGCCGAGCGAACTGCTGTTGCTGCTGCTGCTCGTGCCGCTGAAGTGCTGCCGCCGGCGCGGCGCGCTTTCCCCGGCTGACCGCCGAAGAGTCGGGCGAGGCAAGCTGGTAAGGTTGTGCTGATGGATGGGAAGCGTCGGCGCCACTGGCGCCGCTCTTCTGCAAGAAGTCGCTCGCGATGCGCAAGTCCCGCAGAGCCGTCAGTTTCGATAGATAACCCCACGCCTCTCGCCTTATATCCCCGCATAGCACCAGCTGCAGCTCGTCCAGCCGCGGCAACGCCGTTCCTAGCATCGCCAAAGCTTCTTCCGTTAAACACGCGTCCCCAGCATTCCCCCTCAATTCGTTGATCGACAGGCTTTGCACATTCTGAAACCTTTTCAAGAGGATTCTAAACCGACGAGAGTAGTCGGCTCCCAGAGAGGCGGGGCAGCGGCGCAACTTGAGCACGCGGCGCGAGCTGGACTCCACCACGAACCACCGCTTACACACCTGACGACACGCGTTCCGATCGCGCAAGGACAGCTTGTCGAATATGTCTGACAATGCGCTGTCGGGCAGCATGCAGTTGATGCCATTCGCCTCCATAATAGCTCGATGATTGGGGCTGGAAGGAGGCTCGTCGACGCCCGAACTCCTCAACACAGATGGATCGCGAGGCAGAGAATAAGGCGCAGCACGGTGATGAGCAATAGGAGGGTAGACAGGGAGACCACCACCTCCTACTACTACGACTACTCCTTCTCTTCCTCCTCCTCCTCGCCCCGCAGCGTGACTGCTTTCACTGCAGGCAGAGAAAGAGGTAAGTGCCCGAGCACTTGCTGCTTCTGTTGCAGCTGGCGCTGGAAGAAGACGTGAAGCAGCGGGGGAACCACCCCCCTCCCCCCCCGCTTGAGAGGCTGGGTCGACAGGAGGACAACTACACTGTGGACCTCCGGCTCTCCGACCTAGAGCCCGTCCTCCACCTACAGTGGGAGAGAGGGGGAGGGGATTCCAAGGGGTTGCTGTCGACGATGCAGAAGCAGCTGCAGCGGGAGAAGCAGCAACTACCGTCGTGCAAGTGCGAATCGGGGGACCACCACCCTCTCCTCCACTACCTTCACATCCAGGAGCACACGAGGGAGCTTCGGCACTGGATGTTTCCGCTTCCGCTGCTGCTGCTGCTATAGAACCTGCAGCGGGAGTGGTGGGGACGGCTGAGGAACTGACGGCGAGAGGACCCTGTGCTTGACAACCTCCTGCTCCCCTTTCTCCTCTATCTCCTACTGTTTGTCGGAGAGCAGAGCAAGACGCACCATGAGCAGGAGGCTCGGCTGCAGCAGCTGCAGCGAGAGGAGAAATAAAGACGGCAGCAGCAGGGGGGGAAGGGAGAGGCGCAGGCGGAGGGGAGAGAGGAGGAACAGCAGATCGAGGAGGAGGGGGAGGAGGAGGAGGAGGAGGAGAGAGGGCAACAGAAGGGGAAGAAGAAAGAGTGTTCCGCTTGCGGTTGTGGGAATCACTTACATCGGACGACGGAGAATAACGACACCCGCAATCTTCCCTAGACTGCGAGTCGTGGATTGGCTTTTGCTGTTTGTGGTCTCCCTCCGCCGTCGACTCATCGTTGATGGCGGTACGTGTGTATGGGCAGTCACGGCTTGCACAAGTATAACTACCTGTAGGAGAACATGGACAAGAAATACGAGGCCCACACACAGGACTCGACCCACAATCCGACTGACTGTTGGAGGAAGCCATTGCGCGCCGAGCCGCCCGGTTTACCCAGCATCCGCGGGTGCTGTGGCTGCCGCCTGTTCCTCACTGGAGATCCCACTCCCGCCTGCTCAGGGTTTTGCAGTTTACCTCGCCAGAGACATGGAACCTGATCGTAGAGCGACGGGAATACTCTTTCAAATAAGCCGACTAGACAGAGGACAGTTTATTACCGCTGCCGACGGCGTCCAATCTTCAACCCTGGACTCGATGACAACGATTCCCTTCCCTTTTCCTTTTCCTCCTCCTCACCCGCACCGACGTGCTATACAGCGCGCTTCAACCACACCATAATTACAAAAGCCGCCTGCCATGACCTCTCTCTGTCTGTGTGTGTGTGTGTGTGTGTGTGTGTGTGTGTGTGTATCTGTCTTTGTTTGTGTGTGTGTGTGTGTGTGTGCGTGTGTGTGTGTGCATATTTCCGTGTGCTTGAGCGTGCGCGCGCGCGGGCGTTTATGTGTACGGTGTGTGTGTGTGTATACGCGTGTGCGTGTGTGCGCGCGCGCGCGCGCGTTGCGCAATGAAATTGGAGCTGTCCAGGCATCAAGCGATCATTCTTACGGTTTGGCTAACAACGTTATCGTATTTGGAAATCTTATTCTGAATAGCTACCCTTACCGCTGAGCGGCAGCGGTTTGGTATGAATGCGGTGTCATTCTGAGGGGCGATCCTTGTTACGGTTTCGCTAACAACGTCATCGTATTTGAAAAATTTATTCTGTATAGCTACCCTCATCGCGCAGCGGTAGCGGTTTGGTATGCATCCGGCGTCATTCTAATAAGGGGTATTTAAGTAAAGCCGGTCGGCTTCTGTAATCAGTTCAAGTCGTTCACTTCGAGAACACACTGCTTCACCTCCTCTTCACCCCCCCGCCTCCCCAAACCGAACGCGCGCCGTAACCCACGACTCCAACCCACTCACACCCCCCCCTCCTCCCCCTCCCCCCCATCCCCCCCCCCCCACTCGCACTCATACGCGCGCGCGCACGCACGCACCCCGCCGCTGCTCACACCCGCGCAGGCACACAGACAGACCGAGTCTGCCGCACATGCCGAGGCTCCTGCTCACACACGCACACTCACGCGCGTGCGCACGCCCCGGGGCAAGGTCCCACTTGCGCAAATTACGAGATTTCGGCCGTTGATCTTTGCTTCTACGGTCAGTATCTCTTAATTCGTTCAAGTGGGACCTAGCCCCCGAACAGAGTATTTTCTTCGACCTTCCGCTCCTTTCCCTTTCTATCCTGTCAGTCTCCCTCCCGTCCCCTTATCTATTTCCAGCACTGTAACGTACCTCAAGGTGTGCTGGTCACGTACATCTACCTCACCAACCAAACAACCGCAGGGGAGAGAAGAGCAGACACGGCGAGAAGAGGAGAAATTCACTACCGTGATAAACGCCGGGTTCATCCAGCGTCCGCGGGTGCTGTGGCTGCAGTCTGTTCTCACACGAGACCCCACTCCCGCCTCCTCAGGGTTTTGCCTTGTCAGAGCCACGAAACCTCAGCCGTAGAGTGAGGGGAGTAATCGTTCAAATACGAGTAGACAGAGGTCAGTTTTCGACGACTGCCGGGGGGTCCAATCTTTAACCGTGGACTTGGGGTCTCGTTCGACACCACGTCAACTCAAGGGTTGAAGGAAAATTATTCGACCCCACCCTAAAGTCGCCGCGGAGTTGTTTCTACTTTCTGGCTCTCAAGTGCCCACCCTCGAAACTCAAGTGCGGCTGGGGCAAATTCACACTTGAATTCAAAGGTACCTCTCTGGGCAGCCTTGAGTTCAAGTGCGAGGGGACGGCGGCGCCTACATTGGTGGCGATAATTTTTATTTTATTTTTTTGGTGGACCGTTCCAGGTCCACCGGGTGGTCCAGCCGTCTGGCAGGCCTCTCAACGGGTCGTTGGCAGTGGTACCGTCCGCGGTGGAGTGTGGCTTGTGCTTTGAGGGGGGGCGAAATGGCCGTTGAGCTAATGGTCGTTGGAGCCCGGCAGTGGGCTGGCGGGGCGTGGGGGTGGAGGGTGGGGTGGGGGGCGGGAGGGTGTTTGGTTTGGGCAGTTCAAATTTGAACTTTCGGTGGTGGTGCGCACATCCCTGCATTTGGCTGTGCATGAGATGTCATACATCACATAGGCGACAACCGTATTGTATTGTATGGTGTTCTGCACGTTCTCCAAATCATCACACCAATGTTGTGCTTTTCGTCGCTGTCTGAGCACGTTTGTCGTCTTCGTAGGTTGCCGCCGTGTTCGTCCCGTGCCGTTGTCGAGCCCATCGGTCCTGCAGAGGGGACCCTCCAGGCTGCGTCATGCAGGATTTTGCAGGACTTCGCCGTAGAGTGTTGCTGCTCCGTTGCCGAATGCACCCGGCGCAGCTCTGCGCCTAGGTTCATTGTTTCCTTGCTGCCTCCTTGCTCCTCGTCTGAGCCACATTGCACGCTAGCCCAGACACCACATGCGTTGATTGATACAGACAGCAGGACGGCGGTTAAGGATGTCGAGAGGCGGCGAATCCAACGAAGGCCTACATGAATTTGGCGCAGATTCGCATTAATTGCATCCAACGGAGGAGGTGGTGGGAAATGAGCTAGGTGGGGCATAAAATTCATAACTCGCCCGTTCCATAATGGAATTGGGTGAGTGAGGAGTCGATCTTGGGGTTTTTTTATAGGGTGGGCATGATGGTGAAGGCGGAACGGCGAATGGCGGACTGTACTGGGAGATAGGGAGGGAAAAAAAGGGTGTCGGGAAGAGTCAAAAGAGGAGTGAGATATATCTCCCCATATCCTAGGGATTTTTTTTTTTTTCTCTTCATTTTGTTTTCATTGTTTGGGTGCTGACCTTGAGAATAGCGCATCTGTCAGCATTCTGGCGGAAGATTCATTCTCATTTTGCACATTTAGAGAGTAGTGGAACGTGGCCAACCGGGGCGCTCATCATCGTAATCGTCGATTTGGAACCACGGGTTGGATCGTATTTTGACTCAGCAGATTGCGCTTATTGTGAACACAGTGATGTTTGTCCTCGTGCTCATTGGGATGATCTTCTTTAAATTTTGCACGTTCGTAGTACTCCTTTGCATGGTCGTGCTAGTGATGCTCTTCCCCACGCTCGACATCGTTAGGATCACATACGTTGTGATCATTGTGATTTGTCATGTTGATGATCCTAGTGCTCGTAACTTTCTTCGCGTTGTTTTTCGTTGTAGACTTCTTTATTGTTGTGTGTATTCACATAGCGTTCATCATTCTTCATTTTGCGTGATGTCAATCACCACCTAGCTCGCTTTCGTGGTGTTGCATAGCTAAGGTGGTTTGTACCAGAATCTTCTTCCTTATGTGCTCAGGTATTTTGGTCCAGATCTTGTCACGGTGCTCCCCGGTGCAACAATCATCTCGACGCACTGCTCTTTTTGTGTGACTTGTGGCTTTTGCACTTGTCCACAGGGGTGCGCCTGCCTTACCTACACTACTCACGTTCACCTGGGCAGATCGACGGTTAGATACACAGAGAACAGGGACAAATTAGCAGCTAAGGTAGGAGGTGAGGGAGTGAGGAGAGAATAGAACAGTGAAAGAGGCAGGGGCGACTCACTTGTTTTCTTGCATCAGAGACTGTCCCCATGCTGCATGTACTTAGCCACAACACCCGTACTCATCCCGCTGGTCACTACCTCTGTTTCGCTAGTGTATTTTTCTGCAATATCACTTAGATGGCCGCAGTTGCGACCAGACAACTTGGAGTTGAGGGGATGATTACGTGGTTGACAATTGTGTAGTCGGAATGTTGGCAAACTCTTTCACGGTGCCTGTTTAGAAATTCGGACCAAGGAGATCAGCATGCATGCGAACCAGTATGTGCTTAGCCCATGAGGCGGGAGAACTCTATGCAGCGGAACTTAGTCTGCCCACCACGTCCTGCTATGAGAAATTCAAGTGTGAAGTATGTCTGTTGCGACTCGAAGTATTGTGAATCGTGCCTAAACAGGGTGAACCAAAGGAAATCTCAAAAAGGGGGCGACTCTATTTGAACGCTGTGTTTCTAGGCTGCGTTTCTACGTTTTGGTCTGAAAAAACGGTGACATGAATCGAGGGAGAAGTCAAGCTCTTCAGAAGGGTCGCTGAAGCAAGTAGGGGGATGTTCAGAGCACTGGCTACGCTACTTCGTGATGACAATTCGACTATCTTCATGCGTTTTTGCCACGTTTTGGCCATCCTGCTGCGATTTTGTGGCCGCCATTGCGGGCCCTCGGGCGCATCAAGGCAACAAGGTTCTCTCTTGAGAGTTGAGTCCGTCCCTTTTTTACAATCCCACCTGTCGCCTGCCTTGTATCTGAGTGTCTGAAACCACTCCTTCTGCTTTTCTTACTCTAAGTATAGTCTGAGGTTACGAGAGGAAGGCGGCATGCGGGATTGTAACTCGTAGGACTGCATCTAGACTCTGTGGGGAGTCTGCCCACCGATTACGGGTGCTTTGCCGGAACTCAAGAGGAGTTATGGAGGCAGGGAATTGAGTGGTAACCCTTCGACTCTCTCTATTAAACCCTGCTAAAACCCTTATAAGTACATCTCTCTATGGATGCCTGATTATACTAAATGCATCCCTAAAAGTTTTATGTTTGACTTTCCTGGGGTAAGTCAGAATAAACTAAAGGAATGCATCCGCAAACCTTAGTTTTTTTTTTTTGCTCGTCAGAAATCAGATTCTGAAGGGAGTGACTGGGGGAAGGTGGGAGGAAGGTGGTTTTGCTTGCAATGATTGGGTTTCCCTTGTTTTTTTTTTCCTCCCTAGCCAAACAATGTGGCCTCAGTCAGGCTGGACTATCGTATTGTTTGTGTTTTTGATAGTCAGACAATATGGTTTCAGTCAGTTCTGATTGTCATACCCGTGTAGATTGTTATTTGAACAGTCAAACAAAGTGGCTTCGGTCAAACCTGGTTGTTGTTTTTCTTGTAATTTTTCTGTTGACAGGGTTTAAGAGTTGGGTAATGTGGTTTCGGTCWGACCYAACTACTTGTTTTTTTTTCTGAGGGAGGTTTGGACTGGAGACTAAGCAAGGTGGCTTCGGTTTGGCTTAGTGTGAAGTCGCGCACATAACGAGAAACCTAAGAATATGATTTTCTATATATTTTTATTATTGAACGAGTTAGTCAGACAATGTGACTTCGGTTTGGTCTGACTATAGCCTATCACAAAAGGTGAAGATAATATTTAATTAAAAATATAAAGAATGTAACCTAAAGGCGGACTGAGCAGTT